TAATAATAGTTCCAATTGTTATCTTTATCTTTCTCTCAGGAGTACAAAAGTTGTGATCCTGCTTCCTCGTCATCTAAAGACATAGCGAAAGCAGAGATCATCAATATACTCTAAAAAATTAAGATAGAGGTTTAACTCATTCCAGAATAATCCTGGTACTCTTGTAAAGATCATCTATTAATCAATAAAGATTAACAGTTATAGAAAGAGTTAAATTAAAAAAAGACTGAGCCATCTTGATTTTTGGAAGTCCTGTGCTATCTGATTGCTGTTGTGAAAGAATGTCAATGTTGGGTAATACCAGAAATTAAATCTCACCTAACTTTTGTCTAATTTTCTACTCAAACCTATTTTAAGTGGTCAGTATTCACACATGAGGGAAACATGATCAAATGTAGAGGAAAAGCCTTCTAAAGTTCCATGTATCATGCATCATCTAAAAGAAGCAGTCCATATTCTTTATGGTGCCAGCATTTCCTAAATTAACCATCCTGCAGTATCACTGAGTGATATGGCCAGATATATCCCAGGGCTCGAGCACAAGTATCAGGACCAACATTCCAGTGCAATACGAACAGACTACTGCATCATTGGATGTGCCATCTTTTGGAGGAGATGTTGAACTGTAGCCCCATTTGCCTGCTGGGGTAAATGTAAAGATCACATGGTACTATTTCAAAGAAGAGCAGGAGCTATTTCATTGATTTCCTACAAATATTTATTCCTCAATGTCACAAATCAGATTAGCTGACTGTTATCATATTGTTATGTATGAGATTTTGCTATGTGCAAATTTGCTGCTGTGTTTCCTCCAACAGTGGCTACAGTTCAAAAAATTGAATTGTCCATTGATTTTGAAAAATATCATATGAATGCAAGTCACTGTTTTTAATAGTCACTAATGGGAGTCTAGCTGCGATTTTCCAACACTATTCCACTTAAGGACTTACAGCCAATAGAAATTGGAAGCTTTCGTTCCTCCAGTTTGTGTTCAAGATGTTTCAGTTCCTTCAGGCTCAATTTCACTGAACCACCCAGTAACTTCAGTACATGTTCTATTTTCAAATCATGCCAAATTACAGATTCATGGTGTGTAGTAATTTTTGATTACTCTTTTCTCTTAATTACAGATTAATCTGCAAGAGGGAATATTCTATGGGCTACAAACAGTCACAGAAGTGATTAATGTTCTCAAGCCCTTAAGCATTATTTTAACTCTTTCAAAACCTTTTAAATTTTGATTTAAAATTGGGTCCCAAATATTGGGTGCTGCTAGTAAACAAGGGACAAGTGATGCGCAAGTTGGTTCATTTGATGTGAGTTTTTTGATAATATTGGTTCAATTAAATGTGCATTGGATTTAAAGTAAAAGCTGGATAATATGAGAGCTCATTCCACAGGGTGACCACTCTTTGAATGAAGAGAATTGTCCTCATCACAGTCCTGAATTGCCTACTCCAAATCCTTAGACTGTGACCACAGCTCTGGACTCACCGGTCATTAGGAACATTCTTCCTGTCTAGTTATGTTAGAATTTTATAGGTTTCTATGAAACCACACCACCCCCCCCAATTCTTTTGAACTCCAATGAATGTAGTACTAACCAATCTAATCTCTATTCATGCATCAGTCCTGCCATTACAGGAATCAGCCTGGTAACTCTTTGCTGCACTCCCTCCATAGCCAGAACATCGTCAGAGACCAAAAGTGCACAGAATACTCCAGGTGTAGTCTCACTAAGGCCTGTACACTTCAGCATGACTCCCCTGCTCTTGCATCCTTAAATCCTCTCGTTATGAAGGTCAATATCCCATTTGCCTTTTTCACTGCCTGCTGTACTGCATGCTTACCTTCAGCAACTGGTGTAGAAGGACACCCAGGTCTCATTACACCTCCCCCTTTCCCAATCTATCGCCATTCAGATAATAATCTGCCTTCCTGTTTTTGGAACCAAAGTGGATAACCTGCCATATACATCCACATTTATACTGCATCTGCCATGCATTTGCCCACTCACTCAACTTATCCAAATCACATTGAAGCTCTCTGCATCCTGCTCACAATTCACTCTCCCATCCAGCTTTGTGTCGTCTGCCAACTTGAAGGTATTGCATTTATTTCCCACATCTAAATCATTAATATATATTGTGAATAGTTTGGGTCCAAGCACTGAATCCACCAGTTACTGGCTGCCACTCAGAAAATGACCTGTCTGGTTTCCGATATATCAGCCAGCTCTCTATCCATCTCAATACACTACTCCTAATCCCATGTGCTTTAATTTTACATGCTAGCTCCTATATGGGACTTTATCAAAAATCTTCTGAATATCCAAGTAAAACACATCCACTGGCTCCCTCTTATCAACACTACAAGTTACATCCTGCGTGAAATCTGGTAGATTTGTCAAACATAAATGCTTTCATAAATCTATACCAACTCTGTCCAATCCTTTCATGGTTTTCCAAGTGTTCTGCTATTAAATCTTTTATATTAGACTCTTGCATTTTCCCTACTACAGATGTTAGGCTAATTGAACTATAATTCCCTGTTTTCTCTAACCTTTTTAAAACAGGAGGGATTACATGAACTACCCTCCAATCCAGAGGAACTGTTTCAGAGTCTATAGAATCTTGAAATGTGACCACCAATGCATCATTATTTCCAGCACCATTTCCTTGAGTACTCTGGGATGTAGGTTACCAAGCCCTGGGAAATTTATCAGCCTTTAATCCCATCAATTTCCCCAAAACTACTTCCTTCCTAAAACTGATTTCCTTCAGTTCCTCCCTGTCACTGGATCCTGCATTCCCCAACATTTTTAGATTTTATTTGTGTCCTCCTTTGTGAAGACACAAACAAAAGATATATTTAATTGGTCTACCACCTCTTTGTTCCCCAATATAACCATCCCTGTTTCAGATTGCGAGGGACCCACATTTGTCTTCACTAATCTTTTACTTTTCACATACCTATAGAAATTTGTATAATCAACTTACAAGTTCCCCAAAAACTCAATCATGCACTCCATTTTCCCCCTCTTATTCCTTTTATCCTCCTTAGCTGAAATTTAAACTACTCTCAGTCCCCTGCAGGTGGCTGAAATCTAACCATTGACTGTAACTGCAGCGTTTATGTACAAAACGGCAACTGCCTAAAATTGTGGTCAGTTTCAGAGAAATAATGATGCCAGAGGTTAATAAAATCTGGAGCATTATGTTTTGTAACTGAGAAATATTAAAAGGTAGAAGTAAGAAACAAATTATCTTCCAGCTGATATTAGTTTAAGAGAAGTGGTGGAAAAATCTTTTCCAGGGCTGGGACCTGACTTGAATTATCTTGCTCAGTCTGGAAGAGGTTCATTGCTTCATTGAGAATTGAAACTTGGCCAAGAAATATTTGGAACTACAGAGAAACTAAGTTTCTAAAGCAAGTTGCTTTAAGAAGCAGGACTGGAAATTCTAATTGAGGCCTTAGAAGACATTATAGCTACCAATGCTACTGAATAAGGAAGAAATATCAAAAGCAACTGTTATTTAGACCTACGTCAGGAAATGAAAATAATTGAAAAAACAACACGATCTGAAGGAAGTTGATGAATGTGGGTCAAAATCATCTTCAACAGTCTAAGCTCAGTTGAATGAAGAGAGGAGGACGACACTCATATAGGACTGAATAAAATATAAGCAAGTCAGTAGTGAAAGAATAATAAAAGAAGTAAAATGCGTGAATAATTGATGTGAAAGTCGTTGTGAAACTTGAAAGGGCTCTGAAAAGATTTACAAGGATGTAGCCAAGGTTGGAGGATTTGAGCTATAGGGAAGGGTCGAATAGGCTGGGGCTATTTTCTCTGGAATGTCAGAGGCTGAGAGGTGACCTTATAGAGGTTTACAAAATCATAAGGGACATGGCTAGGTTGAATAGTCAAGATCTTTTCCTCAGGATAGGGGAGTCCAAAACTAAACAATATAGGTTTAAGCTGAGAGGGGCAAGATTTAAAAGGGACCTAATAGGCAACTTTTTCATGCAGAGAGTGGTGCATGTATGGAATGAGCCACCCGAGGAAGTGATAGAGGTGAGTAGAATTACAACATCTAAAATACATTTTCTTTGCAATTCGCCTACCATCACAACAGGTCCAGAGGCTGGTACAATTACAACATTTAAAAGACATCTGGATGGATACATGAAAAAGAATGGTTTAGAGGGATATGGGCCAAATGCTGACAAATAATACTAGATTAATTTAGGATATCCAGTCAGCATGGACAAGTTGGACTGAAGGATCTGTTTCGGGCTGCACATCTCTATGACTCTTAAGTTCTTTAAAATTATTTCTTGTGTAGAAATTATTCAAGGACATTTAACAAGGCTAAATAGTTTTAATAAAGGGAGACAAAAATATGTAGATAATAAGGATTATTGTGTACGTGGTTCTTAACTTTATGGTTTCTGGCAAAGGAAAATAGTTGTCATTTATGAAGCGCCTTATCATATCAATGAGACATCACAAAGTGCTTTACAATCAATGGATGCATCTTGGTGAATAGATTTTTTAAAATTTCATTGTGTGAGGCAACTTCCGGAATGCTACAGAAGTTGCAAAATTGTTAATATTGATCCCAAAGTATTCAATGACAATACATACATATAGTAACATATTCTCATTATGTGTCATACATGGTATAAATATAGTCTTTTTAACAAATTGAAAGGTCAGCTGCTTAACTCTGTTTCTCTCAAATGCTGTTAGGCACATGGAGTATTTCTCGCATTTCTGTTTTTATTTCAGATTTCCAGCATCCACAGTGTTGTATTTTTCCATATGTCCATTTGGTAGCTTGAATATCTATATACATACGAAAGATGTGTACTAGTAACCCTGAATGTCATTCCCTCAGAACATCCCAAAGCATTTCAGACAGGCAATTAAATGTTTTGAAAGTCTAGAATGACATGACAGGTTTTATACACATGTCCCAATATAACGTTTCCGGGTTTCTTGATCTAATATACAAGCTAGTTTGATCGGCAGTAAAGATAAGACGAGTTTTACATCGTTAGTTGTTGCTCTTTTTCAGACAAGCACGCAGATTCCAACAGTAAGTGGCTTCCGGCTCTGAATTTATCAATTGTCCCTGTAAATTGATCCTTTCCGATGAGGAAGCACGTCCAGCTGATCAATGGATTGAATGAATCTGTGAACACGGCCCAACCTTTGTACGTGTTCATGTTTTGTTCTCACCCTGGTGTAGCTGTAGTTTGGGAACCCATTGTCAGCGGGTGGGGCTCAAACTGTTGCACATCTGGCAACCAGGAAGTTCTCCTGAAAATCCGGCGTGAGGCTGGAATGTGGACCTCCTCCCGAGTTTGGGACCTGCTCCGTGTCCGTTTCAATCGCAGGTAGTCTGTTGACGGGAGGCGTGATTGGGGAATCTCATCCATGAGAGTCAGGACGGGATGCTGCACAGAGAGGTGCTGGAATTGCTGGTTAATTGGCAAAGACAGGGAAACTCACACTGCTGCTGTAAACAGAGAGAGGGAGACAGAAAATCCTCACTGCGGATCCAATGAAACTCACTCTGTGTGTGAGACCACAAGCTGTCACCTCCTGAGCTGGGAAACACCCCTCTTAAAAAAATAAACACACACACTCGCAGTCAGCGAAACATTGGCTGTGAACAGATCGGATCGAGGGAGAACACATTTTTGTGGGCAACACTGTCCACCCCCAGATTAAAGCATCAACGTGAACCCATCATTTACCTCAAGACAAACGCAAAGGGATGAATCCTGGAGAATCCTCTAAATGAAAGAATGAATTTTAAACTTCTCAGATCCCAAAACGATAAGGTAAGGACAGTGTGCCAGGACTGGGGGGGTGGGGGCAGTGGTTGTTGCGGGAGGGAGGATGCTGAGGAGAATGTAAATGAAACTTCATCTTTGGATTTATCCCTTGTTATAATTAACTCGCAAATGTCTCCAACCCGCACATTTGCAAATACTGTTTCGGCGAAAAACTTGCTTGAATTAGAGGAAATTGTAAAGCTGAAATTGTTGTACGATCTTAAACACAGACGTACTGGACATGGCCAGGGAACACATATTGAACACAGGCACGTATATAGTCACAGACCCAGACAGACACACACAGGACAGCACTGCCAGGCGCATATATACACCCAGACC